TCCTCCCTAGAAAGTGGCTCTAGAGGTGGCATGTCGTCTTCTCCCTCAAGGATCTCTACATCCGGATTCCTCCTCCCCCTAAGCGAGTTCGGATTTCCTCCTACGCCGTGGTCTCCGGTAGTCTCTCTTGCTTCCGACGTCGTCGGATTAGTCTTCATCTCAAGTAATTTCTTCATCATTTCTTCCATGGCCGTGAATTTTCCCTCCAACCTTTCATTGTTGGTGGTGATTTGATTTTGAAAATAAAAAAATCTTTCCTCCAAATCGGTTTTCAATTGACCCACTTCGCCTTCCAAGACGTCCACCTTCTTTCCGGCCATCGTTCTTCCAACAGATCCCAAAAAATCTTCTTCCGGAAACGATAAACTTGCTGAAATTTCAGAATTTCAGCCGCCGGTGGTCCCAAATTGATGTTCTGATATCAATTTAAATCACTTCTATAGCAAAACTCGATGTAAACTGCTGTTCTCAACAGGAAAAACAGCAAAACAGTGGAAAATCTGGAGAAATCTGAGAGAAACGTGATAGAAAATGTAGGAAAACAATGACAAACACTTGTATTCCACTAGTAGTTGCAAACAACAAACAAGATATAATTTTCCTTCAATTCGAGAGGAAGGAAAAACTCTCCACGATCTCTGGCAAAGCCAAGAGCCAAGACAAACCCTAGATCTCAAGAAGAAAACTTTCAAATTCAAGATGAGAGCCAATTCTCATCATAACTCCCTAATTAAAGCAAAAGGAAAGATACAAATTACATAAACACCCTCCTCATTTAAAAATTCCCTCCAACGAAACGCTCCAACCCTGCCTAGCCCGCTCTGGGTTCCACCATTTCTGCGACTGGGTTCCTCCCGGCTTTGGACCGCCGGGTGTAGAACCGGACCGGTCCAGCTGGGACCGGTCCAAGCGTAACACTCTGCATGTGAAATACTTTACACCCATTTTACTTCCATCCAAACAACCCTTAAGAGAAGAAAGAAGGGGAAAAGTATTTAATATATTTGGTAAACAATAAAGTCAATCAGGCAAGCAATTCAGCCTATCCCTTCAATCTTTTCAAATGGAACAAGGAGTTTGTATCCATGAGAAGGATAATTTATTTTGCAAGACTTTTAAACGGACAAATAACTTAAGAACAAAAGAAAGCATTCAGCTTTATTTGATCTGACTCCCTAAGCTCTAAAACCTAGATAGGTAGTCCAAACCAACTAGATAAATCCTTAAATAATGAGCTAAGGTGTTCTCCTTGTAATATAGCTTGCATTCATGCTAAGGTATACAATATCTTGAGGTAAATGCACCTTATTCTGACCATTACACTCTGAGACAAACATATTTTCTTGCATAGGGTCTGTAATCTTTTTTGTACCATGCATCTGAACACAGCGTTTGGGATTGTTATCAGCCAAATGTTGCTTCTTCTAGCAAACTTTAGGTTCGGCACTTAAACTTAAATCCAGAAAACTACGAACATCATTAAAATTTTCCAAACTCTTACTGAAATAAAATTTATAAATATTCTCAGCAAACTGTCACTCAAAATTGAAAGAATAGATAAAAATGAGTTTGTTCTTCCAGCTACAGCTTTAGACCTGGAGCCTTGTATAACTCTCACTCATTCTTCTCTGGTGACCTCCCATTCTTTTCATTGTTTAAACTGCTTTAAACAATCTTGTTTACACATTTGGTGATTTATTATTATTATTATTATTATTATTATTATTTTGTGATCTCTCTCTCCCTCTTTCTTACATTTTTGGTCTAATCATTTTCATTTTTATATGAACTTGTTACTTTTTAAGGAAGCATTGAAAAGAAACCTTGATTATCCATTGATCACTTGTGTTATCTCTAGTTACTATAGAAATATTCGCAGCTTTGTTTTTGTTTTTCTTATTTCTAATAAAATTTCTAATTTTATTAAGAGCATAAATTCTTTCTCATTCTACATTTAACTTTTTTCTCTGATGAAAATTTCTTATTCCAATATTCACAAGAGTGCATTTCCATGCTTTATCATGCTTGTGAATGAGGTTTTTATTTTTTATTTTTGAGCTTTAATTCTTGCTTAGATAATTGGTTCAGTTGTTTTTATGCACGCAGAGGGCAGTCGAGTCGCTTAAACTAGAGTATTCCAATGCACAATTAGAATGCAACGCTGCTGATGAAAGAGCAAAAATACTTGCTTCTGAAGTGATTGGGTTGGAGGAGAAGGTTGGAACTATTTATTATCTACTTGTTTTGTTGCCAACTATTTTTTTTTTTTAATTCAATCAATACCATATATATAAGACTGTTTTGAGCAAGTGGCTATGCTTTATTTTGTTGCTGCATAAGCAGTCATGTGACCCATAGCTAGTTTTACTCGTGGATATGTAGCACTTACTCAACCTATCCGACTGTTTAGCCGAAACAACAGCTTTGTGAAGGCATACTTTGTGGTCATCATAGATTATAATTCTTGCTTTCTATTTCCTTCGCCAAACATTTACTTATGTCCTCTTTTGAGTAAATATGATAGGCTAAAATTTCATGTTAAAAAATACCTGACATTAAATGTAATCCATGAGAAATATATGATCCCTTTTTATTATATATGTGAAGCCTATTATTGCTCATCTTTTGTTTCCAGACCTAATTTTAACATATAATTGCTTATTTTTAAATTATTTGGGAATAATTTTTTTGTTATTTCACTATCAAGAGTTGAATATTCCTGCATTAATTCAGTTCTGATGTGGTATCGTTAGTTACAAATGCTAACATATTTGTGCCAAAGTTATTAAAAACGTGTTTTAGGAGCAAAGTAAAACGATTTGCTGGCCTTGTGCATAGCTTGCCCATGAAGTGCAAGCTCATAGCAAAGTGCATGTGTTGTGCTGCTTTACCGTGTTGTGTCGTAGCGTTGAGCACTTGGTTTTGAATCAAAATGAAACCTTGGCTCGGATTTCATGGTTTGATTCATCAGCTGCCACAGTTACTAGTTACGAATGTACGCTTCCTTCCATTGCTTCTCATAGTCATTAAGGCGTTGCTCATCGGTTCTTTGTTCTCTCATGTTGGAGCTAGTTCCTGAGTGGGTTTTCTCTTCACGTTCTCTTGCCTAATAAATTTATTATACACATCAATGAATCTTCCTCTTCTCCATGGGCTTATGGTTCTCGGAAGCCTAACATAGAAGTGTAAATAATTCTTAATTATCTTATTAGCTTTCAAGAACAACAATATCAAGCCTTTATCCCACTACACGGTCAACTACATGAATCCTTCTGCTCCATTGTGTCTTGTTAAGAGTCAACTTCTCATTTAGATTTAATAAAAAAGATCATTTTTAATATTTTCTATCCAAGTCTTTTTAGGTCTACCTCTACCTTTCTTAATATAGGTCAAATCCAATACCTTTGCTCTCCTACTTAATTAGATAATTAGCAATATAAATAGTAATTAAATAATTAGTTAGTAATATAATATTTAAATGATTAATTAGATAATTAATAAAATAGTTAGTAATTAAAACTTATTAAAATAGTGCTTAAATAATTAATTAAATAATTAGCTGTGTAAGTAGTAATTAAATAATTAGTTTTTTCAAATAATAATCAAATAATTAATTGGATAAATATCAGTGTAATTGGCAGTCAAATACTTATTAAAATAACATCTAAATAAATAACTAGATAATTAGTACTTTAATTAATAATAAATTCAAATTGTCTGATAATTAAGCTATCATTTAATTATATTATTTATAATTGTAACTAATTGATGGTATTTAAAACTGAAATAAATAAGTAACTTGTATTTAAAATGCAAATTAAATTTGAGTTTTTAGTTAACTAACTGCCTCAAATCCTAAGTTATGTTGCCAAATAGTTTCAGAGGATTTACTAGGATTTAAAATCTTTTTTTTCCAACCTGTTTTTAGGATTTAACACTCTTAAGATTTAGTAAATATGGATTTACAGGATTTACGAAATCCTACTTGAGCTAAATCTTACTTGTTGCCAAACAACCCCTAAATAGGCATTGTATCTTCACTATCCACTTTGAGATTCATTTTACCCAGGCATGTCTCTTTATATTAATAATCCAATGGTTGCTTAATAGATGCATTCCTTGTTCTAGGTTCCAGTTTGACAAGAGACACTGCTTACACCATCAAGCCCAACCCTTTACATTTCCTCCGCTGCATTATCCATGTTGTGATTTTCCCCAACTTGAGCACATTCTTGTTGTACGCCTGTGCTTTCTCCTCCTTCCAAATTTATTACATTGTTCAAATTTGATAGATCTTAGTAGAATCTCTAGCTCACTAACCAATAGCATGACCTTCACCACATACTACCTCAACCAGTCATTACTTTTGAGGGCTACATTCAACCGCTTGAAAACTTTTTTTTATGGTTCTCTCAAAATAAAAATTAGTCAAACATTAAATATTAGTAGCTAATCTTATAGTTTTTAAATTATAACCTTGGCATATTGAATAACTTCAATTTTACCCAATTTCACCTTTTTTAACTCTCATTCTAACTAACACCAAATGTCAACATTAGTTTTTTGTCAAACACCTTGCATCAAAAAGATAAAAACCAACACAATGAAATATAATAATTTCCTATAGAGTTATCACTCTGAGGGTCTGTCGGCCCGGTTAGCCAATATCTAATAATTTTTTATTGACATGCAGACCATTGCACACATATATACAGTGCCCATCCTTTTACAAATAAGTTTCAATATATATTATATAAGTCATCACGTCAAGTATAAGTTTCATAATCAATATGGTTTGTAGAGTAATGATTATTTGTATTTAACAGAACTAATGTTCATGAATTAAATCCTCTACCATATGATCAAATTACATGAACACGAGCTTGTGTAATAATAAATTAAGGTAGCATTGGCCGTACACAGACTAATATCATCAACAACGTCAACATCATCAAGCATTTATCCCACTTTTTGGGGGGCGGCTACATGAATCCTTTTTCTCCATTGTGCTATGTTAAAAGTTAAATTCTCTTTTAAATCTAATAAAGAAATGTCATTTCTAATATTCTCTAACCAAGTCTTTTTAGGTTTACCTCTACCTTTCTTAACATAAGTTAAATATCCTACATTTACTTTCCTAACCGAGTCATCGAAAGGCCGCCGTTTTATGTGACCAAACCATCTAAGGGGACTCTCTCTAATCTTATCTTTCACTGGAGCTACAACCTTTTCACGTATATGCTCTTTCTTATCTTGTCTCTAAGAGTAAAGCCACTCATCCACCTGAGCATCCTCATATTTGTAACACTTAACTTAATGATTATGCTTCTCTTTTAATGGCCAACATTTTGCACCATAAAAACATTGCAGGTCTAACCACCATCTTATAGAAATTTTTCTTAAGTTTGAGGGGGACTTTTCTATCACACTACAAGCCCGATTCATTCCTCCACTTCAACCATCCAACTTGAATTCTACTAATAATATCCCCATCTATTTCACCATCACTCCAAACAATAGACCCCATATATTTAAAATGTGTACTCTTATTAATGACTTGATAACCCGAAGTCACAATCCCCCTCTAGAAATATTATTGCTAAAATTGCACTCCATATGTTTAGTTTTATATCTACTCAAATGAAACCCTTTGAACTCTAAGGTTGACCTCTATAATTAAAGTTTACCTTCAACTCCCTCTCTAGTCTTATCAACAAGAAGAATATTGTCAACAAAAAGCATACACCAGGGTACAACCTCTTGCAAATGTCTAGTGAGAACATCATTGACTAAAGGAAAAAGATATGGCTTAAGGCTGATCTTTGATGTAATCCAACTGAAATAAGAAAATAATTGGTCTAACCACCTTGTTTCTGAACATGAGTAACAGCTCCTGCATATATATCCTTAATGACTTGAATTTAAGAATTATTGACCCCTTTCTTTTCTAGAACTCTTTATAGCACTTCTCTTTGAATTTTATCATATGCTTTCTCTAGATCAATACATATTATATGTAGATCCTCCTATTCTCTTCTCCATCAAACCTCTCAATAAATGTATAGCTTCCATACTAGACCTACCTAACATGAATTCAAATTGATTTTGAGAAACGTTACTATCACGCCGCAACCTATGCTCCATAACTCTCTCCCATAGTTTTAAAGTATAACACATTAACTGAATTTACCTATAATTTGCACAATCTTGTGCATCACCTCTATTCTTAAAAATAGGAATCAACACACTCATTTTTCACTCATTTGACATTTTTTTAGTCTTCAAAATAATATTAAAAAGTTTAATAAGCCAAGAAATTCCTTCATCTCCTAAGCATTTTCACAACTCTATTGGAATATTATTAGATCCAACATCCTGTCCACACTTTATTTTCTTTAAAGCCTCTCTAACTTCGATTTTACTAATACGTCGATAAAAATAAAAATATTTATTTTCATTTAGGATGCTAAGGTCACTAAAGTGAATCGCCTTCTCATAATCTTCATTGAAAAGCTTATAAAAATATCTCATCCACCTTTGTTGAATATCTTCTACTAATAAAAATATTTTTTGATTTTTATCTTTAATGCACTTCACTTGAACTAAATCCTTACTAAGCTTATCTCTTTGTTTGGCTAACTTAAACATATATCTTTCGCCATCCTTAGTGTCTAGTCTATTATATAAATCATTAAAAGCTAAAATCTTTGCATCGCAAATTACTTTCTTATACTCTTATGGGCCTCACTATCATTCCCATTTATAAGAAATTTTCTATCTAAATCAATTTTTATAACAAATAAACTTATTTTTTTATCTCTTCTTGAACATTTTGATTCCACCTCCATCTATTTTTACTATTAGGAGCTTTTCCTTTGATATTCCAAGCACATCTTTTGCAACATTCTTAATATCAGTAGCTACTTTTTCTCACACAACATTAGCTTCCTCGTGCGCAGAAAAAATCTTATGATATGATATCTTACTCTCAAAAATATTTTTGTTAATATTCTTTAAATGCCCCAATCTAATCCTGAAACAACGTTTTGCTTTATTTGTTATTTTCTCCCCTTTCGTCTTAAAAATTCTAAAACTAATAAGCGATGTTAGGTACATAAACTTTCACTTAGAATAACTTTACAATCTTTGCAATCTAAATGATTTATTTTTCACAGGCTAATGTCATCATGAACAATAAATTAGATCTAATACATGAATATACTAATAAATAAGAAGTTGACACATGATTGATGACCTAAAATATCTTGGAGCTTCATACAAATAGCAAGGGTAATACCTAACAAAGAAGAGTATGTTTATATGCTAATTAACAATAGTTATTTATAGTACTTGGCACAAATTCCAACTTTGATTGCAGTTAGCTCGACTCCACCAAGCGGATGCCCTATAAGAAGTGAAATCAGACAATTATAAAGAAACACTTTAAGGCATTTGAGTTAATCGATCTAAGCTACACTACTAATGCTAACATTAAGCATCACGAGAGATCAACCTTATGGTCCTCCTAGTTACATCAAGTGGGCCATAACTCAATGGTTCCTCACAAAAAAATTAGATTGAAAAAATATCTATAATGCGATATAAGGATTAAAAAAATATAGAGTTTGATCTATTCAAACATTGATCCTAGATATAAGGCTTTCTCTGAATGCAAGCTAAAACTCATCATAATAGTAGTTCAAGGCTATACAAAAAAACCCAATAAAATTTATCTTAATCATTATAAAAGAGAGATTGCCTATTTATGTAATTTATAAATAAGAAGAAGAAAAAAAAGATGAAGGAGAGATTGAAAGAGGAAGAAACTCACTATTGTAGGAGAAGAAATTTGAGGTGATGATTGTTGTTGTCGCCTTAGGCTAAATTGAAGGCTAAGTTTTAGGAGGAGGAAAGGGAGCAATTAGTGGATGTTTGGCGACAACCTCAAGTGAGGAGTAGAAGAATTGAGAGATAAGTGATGCCCTAGGTCTCTTCGCCTTAAATGACAAGAGGGAAGGTGTTGAGGGCAGGAGTATCTCATGATTAGTGTGATTGGAGAGAGATATGTGAGAGATGAGCTTGTGCCTGCATGAGAGAGGGTCAAAAATGGTCGTGAGCTTGGTCGGCTTGCTCTTAGCGTGTAGAGGGGTGGTTCGCTCAGTTCGTTCCGCAAAGAACACTTGAACCAATTTGGTCCAGGTCTGGGTATTACAAATATTATCCTAATTGATAACATATTCATCTCAATATTCTTATTTATACCTCACTTGATTTTTTTACTGATTTCTTTGTTATCCAAGCCCATGATCCAATCAACATAGCTAGTCTTAGTGCTATTTTTTTCTTTGTGATATTCTTTTGTCAAATAATACAGGTAAGGAATTTATTCATTTTAACTAGTCAGATCTAATTCTACAGGTATTCAACTTATTTTCTCCGTTATATGCTCATCTTTTGTATGATAGAGCCAAACGTAATGCATGTTAGCATATCTAGGTATCTGTTGATCTTTTGACAAATTATTAATTGATCGTTAGTTGTTTCATATCCTATGTATTCCAGATTGTGCACTCGTTCTTTCTTAACACTAATGACAAACCAGTTTTTATTTTTTGAAATTTTCCATTTTTTATTACTTCTCTTTTACGATGTAAAAAACATAATCATTAACTCTTATAAAAAATAGCTTATATTAAGCACTTCAGGTTAGATGTATATTGTAACTAGATTGATATAGAATGTATAGATTTAATATTGATCTGATGCAGGACATATATGAAAATATGACTTAGGTAAGGATTTTGCACGCTTGATGATTAAGAGCAAATTAATTAAAGCTTTATGGTAAATTAAACAATGAAATAAAACTCAAAGAGTGGTAAACACAAGCTTAGGCCAAGTTACTTGCGAAAAGTAAAAACCACATAACAATCATTTACTCTCGACGTTGCATACGAAATAGTTTTCAACAAGAAATCCCTAATCTAACAATAAGATTAGGCATGTGAGGTTCCCTCACTTAACTCTCCTACATTTACTAGGCTTTAGCGGAGTGTTGCATGATTTATATGATTCAATTAAAACCACAAGTAAGGATCAACCATGAAGGTATGAGAGAAGGGAAAAGCCCACCTTTGTCAAGATTAAACTTGAAATAAAGTTGTAAGGAAGAAATTCTGGAATTTGGACAGCTGTTATGTGGAGACAAGACTTAGGAACCTTCCGGCCAGGTTGGGCAGCAGTTGGTGGCTGCATGAACTTTTGGACTGCACATCTCTATGTCCAGAAAATTCTGGACATCAAGTTACTCAATCCTGGAAAGCTGGACAACAACTATAATAGCATGGACAGCAGCTTGTATGGCTAGGAATCCTTGGGCAGATCAAAGGACAGTATCTTGGAGGGGAAAATTTCAGACTTCATGGTCTCTGGAGGCAGTGAATTAAGGAAAATTGTAGGGGGAATTCGTGAACAGCAGCAGGAATATCCTTGGGTTTGATTTTCTTGCTTAGGTGGCAAGTTACTTAGATCCCCAAATTAAATTGGAGGGAGAAGGGATTGAAAGTTTCCAAGAATTAGGTGTCTCCTTTGGAAACAAATCAAGGGGATTGGAGAGAGAGGAGGGGCGGGTGGAGAGAGAGAGAGAGAGAGAGGGTTTGAATTATTACCAAGAGGGGAGCTTGCCTTTTGGAAATAATTCCATAGGAATCCAAGAGGGGGCCGGCGGCATAGGGGGAGGTTTGGGAAGGTTAAGCAAGTGTATTAAGACTTAATTAAATGGAATTCACTAATTAAAGGAAGTAAATTTATTCCAATCTAATTTAAATTCAATTTGGATTTGATTTTAGAAACTTTCCTAAAATAGGATTCTATTTTAGGAAATGTTTCAAATTTCAAATTTGAATTAAATGATTGAAATTAAATAACTTTCTCAAGAGAAGCGAAGCAAGAGAGGAAAGTAATCAAGTGGAAATTAGGAAATTGGAGGCAAGGGGAAGAGGGTGAAACCGGCGGCTAGGCTAGGGCTTGGTGGAGGTGGAGGGGTCAGATGCGTCACCCAATTAAGGAAACCATCTTGGGTGGCCGACGGCTAGGTGGGGTGGGGAAGAGGGTAAGTGGGCCGGCGGCTAGGTGGGGTGGGGAAGAGGGTAAGTGGGCCGGTGGTTGCGGTGGGGAATTTGGCCGGCGGCAAGGTGGAGTGTGGCTAGGGAATCCGGCGGCTAAGAGGAAAGGGAGTTAGATGGGAATTTTGGTGGCTTAATGGGGAAGGAGGAAGGGAAAGGAAAAGGAACAAAAGAAAGGTAGGGCAAGAAGAACCACGATCCGGCCGTCTCCTAGGTTGGTGGGTGATCTGATTTCCCTCCCTAGGGATTTCTCCAAAGCTCTCTCCTAGAACTCTCACAACTCAAAGAACACATGTGCAAGAATTTTCTTATAATTCATTCATTCATTAACCCCCAAAGAAGAAGAGTGGGGGGGGGCATGAGAAAATAAAAAAGTAATACAATGCCCCTAGGGCTTACACATACCTAAGCCCTTAAGTAAGGGAAAAAAAGAGAAAAGCATAATAAACTTCATAAAATAAAAATAATACATCAATCATAAATATGAAAATAAAAAGTAGCGCGATGTAATCGTGGCCGTAGATCGACGACCACGCCTCTAGTAGATTTTCCATGTCTTGATGTCCTCATCATTCCATGGTGTAACTTGGATGAAAATGGGTGACCTTTGATTACTCACCTTCTTATATTCTAGTGATTGCTCCTCTATGTAAATGTTTATCCTTTTTGTGTTCCTCTCACATGCATCTTATTTACTCAATTCTTGTCAAATCAATTAATTTTTTGTGCAAGTCTATACTTTTTCAAGGTCTATAAAGACATGTAAAGATATTTTAGTGTTTTTTTTATACTTGTGTTAGTTATTTTTAGCATGGCGATGCCTTGATGGTTAATTGGTACAAAATCAAATTGATTTTGATATCATATGATTTTTCTTGGTTTTTGTTCCATCATTTATAACTTTATTGCATGACTCATATGTTTGATTACTCTAAAATTAACGTATTTTTAATAACCCTTATATTAGTTAAGTTGGTACTAAACTTTTGCTTCTTCAATCATTACATCCTTTCCATTTCAAGGTTTTTGTTGGTCATGTTACTCCAATATCTCCCATAGTTCTGTTATTTTCATTGTGTATTTAAAAGTTTTAAGTTTATTAATTATCTTCAAAGCTCAACTTTTCTTTCTCTTAATTATATATTTTTATACTTCTATGAGTCCATTTCTGTAGAAATGTCTTTAAAGAGGAGATAAATCATGTTAGCTTCATAATCTGTTCAGTTTAATTATACAATCTTTCCATGCTCTTTGGTTCAGTCATGCTACATGTCACTTCAGAAAATATTGCTGTGGACTGTATGCCACTCTTAACTTTATAAAGCTTGCAATGTCGTAAGAGTAATACAAAATAAGGTTTTTCTTTTCCTTCTGTGTTTGTGTGTCCAAAATGAGAGGTTTCAAAGAGACCTTGCTTATTGTTTTTGAAGCTTCGAAGGATGTACACAGAAGTTCTTTATTTTTTGTTAATTTTTTTAGCAATACAGATGCAGGGTTCCATTTTATGTAATAATGCCTAATTTATATGTTTTTCTTTTCTTTTTTATTTTTTTGTTAGGTTTAGAAAATGCCTTGCTTCTTGTCTTTGGTCCTTCTAAGGATATACGCAGAAATTCACTATAATTTTGTCAATAATATATATGCAGGCTTGGTCTTATTTAGTAATACACTAATACCTGATTTAGATGTTTTTTTTTTCTCTTTCCTTTTTGAAAGTCTTACCTTCAGCAATGAAGAATACCTCTACCTCAACAACCTTACAGGATATAGTAGTTCAAAACTAAATTGTCTTCAGGCACTTCAATTTTTTTTAGTACTTTGATGGCAAACTTTGTGAAGATGGGCTTAACTTTAGGTTTTGTGGACTCATAATCCTTTTTTTTTTTATGATTTTCTTGCTAAATCAATCTGTATTAATATTTGATAGGCGCTCAGGCTAAGGTCAAATGAGCTTAAGATGGAAAAGCAATCGGAGAACTTGTCTTCTGAGATTGCTTCCTACAAGTATGTTTTGCATATCTTGCTCAACTACCTTCTGTCTTTATGCATATCGTTGTAACATTTGGCAGATCCTAAGCCTGCTCCAGCTCACTTAAGCTACAAGGAGTGATTTTAAAACAGGATGAAAGCTATACTCTTCTATTTGTACATATTATTCATAATAAACCTACCTTTACAACCTGTACGCATAAAGATTTGAGTCTTTTACGTTGATTCATACCACTTTTTATTGACGAATATTAAGAATATGATTATTAGATTCATATTTCAAACACGATCTGTTACTTCCTTGCCAATACAGATTATGTAAGTACTTAGTAGCACATATCTATGAGGACTTTCTAATGAGCATTTGGAAACAAAATCTAAATGCTACTTATCATCTAGACTTAATTACATAATTTTCTGTTAGCGGTTGGATCAAAAGCATGAATGTAGTCTGACTTACCGAGCTGATGATAATGCTGTTCAGTTATTTTTTTTGTTTGTCAATGACTCAATTGTTATTTTGTATTTAACAATTTTTGAAATGACATTTGGAAGGATCTGTTTGAATAACTTGGCTTTTTTGTTTTTTGGTTGAAACTGTTCATGTTCAGTCGATTTGATCAGATGTTGCATGTTTTTCATTTCTATTATTGAATCTTTTGAACTGTTGAATTCATGTATTCTTTTACTTAGCTTCACGTGATTATATCTTGTTATTAGTGTAATGTTTTATTGACAGTTGCATGTATTGGGAAAAAAGGAACTCTTGTCAGAAATTAGAACTCGTTTATCTAGGTTCAGCAGTATGTTCTCCTTCTGAAGTTTTTCAAATTTTATTTTATAATTAAGAGTGCATTAGTAGAAATGTTTTCCAAATAGGGACAAGCTATCAAGGGGACAGTATTGCCGAGAATGTGATAGGAAGCGCTTGTAAAAATTAAATAACCCTAGGCTTAAAAAAACCCAAACTCAATCCACAAGAATTAATAGGAAAAAACGAAGAAAACCTTTTTTTAATTCATGCTAGATGGAAGAAAATAGCAAGATACAATGGATCCTCAATTGGAGAGGAGTATCCGGCTCTCCTAATTCCTTAGCCGTCGGCTAGAGCCCAAAACACCCTAAGGACACTTCAATTTCAGCAAACAAAAGCATAACCCTAACTCTAGGGAAATAACCTACTTAAAGCATGCAATAATGAAAAAAAAAAGAGCATACAATAATGCTGAAAATACCAAAACAACCCCTCTGAATTTTCTCTCCTAATTAAACCTTAATTCCCTCTTTAAAAAGGCTGTTGGACCCCACCTCAAAGGGGAGAAAGTTTACTAGGTGGAACTCTTATTCTGCCTTTGATATACGGTTGGATCGGTCTAGGGTCCTATCTAACAATACCTCCTCCCAAAGACCCACCTTGTCCTCAAGGTCTAAGGACATAAACTGATGCTTCACTCTTTCGTACGGCTCCCATGTGATGTCATAGTCAGGTAGGTTTTTCCACTTTATTAGCACTTACCCTCTCCATGTCGTTCCCCTTTTAGCTCCAGTGGTTCCAACACTACTTCCAAATTCTTTTTCAGTGTCCCGGGTAACTCTGAATTAGATACATGATCCCTAATAACTCTCCTCAATTGTGCCACGTGGAACACTAGGTGTATGGTATCAGTCGGGGGTAACCTTAATCGATAGGCTACTGCTTCAATCCTTTCCACTATCTCATAAGGGCCAAAGTACCTCGGAGTCAGCTACCATCCTTTGTCTGTAACCATCCTTTGTTTGTAGTGACGAAGCTTCAAGTATACCTTATCCCCTATCTAAAATTCGATGTCCTTCATGCACTCATCTATCTGTTTATTCATGATTTACTGATCCCTCAACAAGTACCTTTTCAATTCATCCAACACCCTTTCCCTCTTCTCCAAGTATTGCTCCATTGAAGAAACTAGTGTGCTACTTTGCCCAAAGTGCACCAAGTGAGGTGAATCCCTTTCGTACAACACTTTGAAAGGAGTTATATGGGAAGCTGAATGATATGAAATGTTGTACTAGTATTCTATCCATGCTAGTCACTTGGCCCACAATCGAGATGTCTCTGAAGCAAAACATCGCAGGTATGTCTCTTGACTCTTGTTTACTACCTCCATTTGCCCGTCTGTCTGGGGGTGGTAAACGGTGCTCTTCTTCAACATTGCCTCATGCAATTTGAGCAACTCCCTCCAAAAATGATTGAGGAACACCTTATCTTGGTCGGACACTATAGACTCTAGTATCCTATGCAGTTTGACCACTTCTCTGATGAAAGTTGCTTCCACTATCACTGTCGTGTAAGGATGTCGTAGAGAGATGAAATGAGCATACTTGCTCAACCTGTCAACCACCACCAAAATCACTGTAAACCCCTCAAATTGGGGTAACCCATCTATAAAATCCATAGTGATCTTCTCCCACACTTTGTCTTGAAGAATTAGGGGTTGAAGTAATCCCCATTGAGCCATGACCATGTATTTGTTCCTCTAGTATACCTCACATCTAGCCACAATCTCCTCCACATTGTTGTGCATTCCCTTCCAATACATCTTTGCTGCCAATCTTTTGTATGTCTTATGCACACCAGAATGGCCTCCAATAGCACTCCCATTTAACTCCTACTAGGTGTGGAATATGAACCGAGGTCCATGGAAACACAAACCTCCTTTAGTATAGCTGTCTTGGTGGCTACTCTCATCCCTCAGTAGTTCCGCCTTAATCTTCCTCAGCTCCTCGTCCTGCTCACTCTCCTCTTTAATAGCCCATCTGTAATATCAGTTTTTGCTCCAGGTTCGTCCGGACGAAGTCGGATCGTCCGGGACGATCGGTACAGGTTGTGCAGAGAAAATCATGTTTGGCTGTATGGTTCGTCTGGACGAAATCAGGATCGTCTGGTCCCCCCCCCAAAAAAAAAAAAACACACACACACCATTAGTCATATTGACATGGCTAACTCCTGGAGCTCCCCCACGTATTTGGATGAGACATGAGCTGTCTTTGTTTTCTAACCATGACCTATACTAGATCTTAAAGTCATAGCCCAACAACTTTGACAACCACCTCTGATGCTCCTCAGTCACCATCCTTTGCTCTAATAGGTAATTCAAGCTCCTCTGGTTTGTCCTGACGATGAAATGTCGGCCAAAAAAGTAAGGCCGCCACTTTTTAATAGCTAATATAATGACCTTCAACTCTCTCACATAGATTGACTTCAACTTAGCTCTAGTTGTCAACACCTAGTTAAGGATCAGAAAAACCTAGATGCTCTATTAGTGGCCATGCTATAGTTTTGCATCTTCTCATAAATCTCTTGTAGTACCCAGTCAACCCTAGGAAATCGCTCAGCTCCTCAGATCCTAAGTAGAGGTCATTTCATTATTTCCTCAATCTTGGCCTAATCAATAACCAACAGCCATCCCCTCCTGAGATATCACATGCCCTAAGTACTCCATATTGGCTTGTGCAAAACAACACGTTTTCAAGTTGGTCCTCAGCTGATGCTCTTGTAACACCTCTAATACCACCCTCAAGTACTCCAAATGCTCCTCATTCGACCTACTGTACACCAAGATGTCATTAAAGAAAGTACAAATTTACTGAGGTATGGTTGAAACACCCTGCTCATAAGGGACTTGAATGTAGCAGGGGCGTTGGTGAGGCCAAACGACATCACCAAAAACTTATAGTGTCCTTCATGTGTCCGAATGCTGTCTTCGGAACATCCTTCTCTTTCATCCTAATCTTATGGTACCTAGAATTTAGATCCATCTTCGTGAACTCCACTGCTACACAAAGTTCGTTCAATAACTCATCTACCACTAGATGGGAAGCTTTTCCTGCACAATTTCCTTATTTAGGTTTCAATAATCCATGTAAAATCTCCAGCTTCCATCTTTCTTCTTGCCCAGTAAGATTGGGATAGAAAAAAAGACTCACGCTTGGCCTGATTATTTAATCTCTTCCTCCTGGATCTAAGGGTAGCGGTAAGGCCTGACACTTATTGGTGACATCACCTCCCTCATGATGATGGCGTGCTCCTACTCCCTTTGTGGTGAAAATCCTTGTGGTGGCTGAAAAACCTTGTTGAACTGTTGTATAAGCAGTTGCACTGACGAAGGGATGTCTCCCCCTTCCTCCAATCTACCCTTCTCTAAGTGCTACAGCTCTACCAGAAATCCTCCTTCCATCTTCTATAGGGTCCTCACCATGGTTTTGAGAGATACCGTAGCTTTGGATAACCTTGCATCTCTCTTTATCACCACCCTTCTTCCCTCCACGTCCAGCTCCATCGTCAGTGCTCCCCAATTAACCTTGGTCTCCCTCAAGGGATGTAGCCATTTCATCCCCGGGATGACATCAGTGCTCCCTAACTCAATTGGAAGGAAATCCTCCCTCACCTGGACCCTCTATATGGTTAGAACAACTCCCCTACACGCTCCTCTACCCATCTCCACCTTCCTCGCTCTGTGTCAAAGAAAACCTTTTTAATTTGATGATAGATGGAAGAAAACAACAAGATACAATGGATCCTCAATTGGAGAGGAGGATCCGACTCTTCTAATTCCCTAGCTGATGGCTAGAACTTAAAACACCCTAAGAACACTTCAATTTCAGCAAACAAAAATATAACTCTAATCCTAAGAAAATAACCTACTTAAATCATACAATAATATTGAAAATCTTAAAACAACATCTCCTTTGAATATTCCCTCCTAATCAAACCTTAATTCCCTCTTTAAAAAGGCTGCTGGACCCCACCCCAAAGGGGCGGAAGCTTACTGACCGGTTGGACCAGCTCAGGGGCCGGTCTAACAGAATGATGACATCTTCTACTGTTAGGACTTAGGATCTCTAGAAGATTCTCAACATACTTCATTAGTCAAAAGGATCATTAACCTTTATGAAAACCTTCATCTTCCTATAGCAGTAGCTAACTGGTCTCTACTGTATTTGAGATGTCTTGGGTTTGAGTTGTGGAAACAGTCTATCCGTAGATGCAGGGTTAAGGCTACATACATTAGTCCTCTCTCAACCATGCAATGGTACGAATACTATATGCTGAGTACTTTCTTAAAAATACTTTCTTAAAAATAGAAAATGCTCCATTGCCCTAATTAGCATTGCGCTACATGGCAGAGTGTGCTGCAACGATGGTTTGAGGCTACCTTTCCATTACAGTATAATATGGGTGGGCTATTTTGGCACTATCAGTGGGTCACTGTTAGACCGGTCCACTGGACCGGTCCAGCCGGTCCGCACAGGACCGGCCCAGCCATAACGAGGCGGAAGCTCCGCCTCTCATTTCCGCACGCACGCCGCCGATTCAGCCGCACGCCCGAATAGGAAGGTTTTTGAATGGATTTTAGGAGGGAAATTGATTGTAGGGATTGTTTAGGGAATTCCTTTTGAATTGTATGCATTAAATAGTAGATTTTCCCAGGGGTTGAGCATCTTGAATTTGGCTGAAATTTGAGATCCCGTAGATTTAGGTTTTCTTTGGGCTCTAGCGGCGTCTAGAGATTTGGGAGAGATCGATCCTCCTCTCGAAT